CAATGAATCGGTTTAACATCAAACCTAAAGCAAGATTTGAAAGAAGCAACACCAGATGTGTTAAGGAACAAAAGTTCTTGAATTCCAATATGTTTTAATCTTAAGTTCTCCATAACAAGAGCATTACAAGCCTTTAAATAGGCCAAATGGTCGTTCAACATAAGAACACCAAAAGTTTTTCAAAATACTACTTAATGCAAATTATAGAAAATAAGACATGCAAATTAAAACTTGATTGCAGATCATTCTAGACATTTAAATGCGGATCAGAAAACGTAGTCACGCTTCAAATGGTCTTATCTATGGGCTGTAGGAGACGCTTCACATTTGGATGACAATTGACAAGCTTTGACTTCACAAATTCCCAAGGGGTGTAATCTGCCAAGGCACCTGTTCACAATTATGCACACATTTTTTGTCCTCCGTGCCATCTCTCAAAATAGACAACTTTTCCCATGCCATCTTTGCTCCATTCTCTTCTTGACTCATTGAAGTAACATTATGAACAAATTTGGGCTCAAAACTCTTTGTTGATTATTGTGCATTAACAAGCTTTTAAAGGTGCAGTGTGAAAGCCTCTTAAATCTTCTTGTCTTGCAGTAATTGCTCCTTTGGTACATGTAATTGGTCACAAATGGATTCGTATCACGGGATTTGTCTAGAATTGTGCCTGGCACTTTTTTGGGTTGGTTTCTAAAAACTTCTCTTTACGTCTTTTTTCTATTTGACCAGTGGGAACTTGATTTATACACCAAAGCCCAACCTTGAGAAAGGTGAGTTAGGTAAAATAATAGGAAACCAATTATGGGATGTGACTTAGGAATAAGCGCATAAAACATGGTTCTAGACATAGGCCCTCTGACCCATAATGCAAATTAGTTGGTAGATATTCTCTAGGATTGTAATCACACATAGGCATATGATTGTAGGTTACCCTAGCCTCTACAGCAACCAAAAGTGGTAGTGAAGAGTAGAACTGAAATCCCAAGAAAAGTCAGGAATTGCACCCGGTGCATAAAGAGGTTGAGTTTTATTAAATTGCTTGTTAGTTAAACCCTCAAACAACAACATTTCATCACATTTTTTTTCCTAAATTACAATTGCATATTTGAACTGTTCACTTCTTAAAACTGTTTTGAAAGGCAACAAGTCCTTGAGGATTCCACCTTGGATTACTTCCGAGTATTACTTGTGATCGTGTGCGCTTGCACGAGTCTCTAATGTTTTTAAAGGTAGAGAAAGTCCCAACAAGTTTTTGGCACCGTTGCCGGGGACTTATTTTTCAAAACTATTCTTTTTTTCAAGTGAATTGTTTCATATTGCGATTGTTGCATGTCCTTGAGATTAATTGTTATATCTATCCTTAGAGTACCAATTTTTGTTACCGCAAAAAAGCTTTCTTGCAGAAGTCCCTAAGAAGGTTAAGTCAAGAATAGAGGTCAAGAAAACAAAAGAAAAACAAACTTTAAAAGAGAAGGGAATGAAAAAATAAATAGGAGGTTACTTGTATTGAGCCAACAACCAGTAGGAGTGTTTGAAATGGAGTCCCAATTTATGTATAATCTTCCAATGGGAAGTAACATGCTCATAGCTCCTGTGAATCAACTATGTTGTTTATATTGTGGTGATATTTGTCATTCAATAGAATATTGTCCATCTAATCCTTCGTCTTTTTATTATCTAGGTCCGCCAGAAAATAAAAGAATTCAGCCCTTATTCAACTCCATACAACCAAGATTGGAGGGATCATTCAAATTTCTATTGTGGAGAGCATCAAGCTGAGAGTATCCATCCATACAAGCATGCATTTCAACCAGAATTCCCAAAGCAACCTCACCAAGAATGTGAACAACCACTGATGCTAGAGCAAATGCAATCATTCATTTCTAGCCTTGAAAAGACAATGATAAATTTTATAGTAAGAACTGATGAAGCGTTACGTAGGCTGCAGAGCCAAATTGAGCAAGTAGCCGATGAGTTGAGGAATAGTCCACCAGAAGCATTGCCTACCAATATGGAAAAGCAGGATGAGGCATTCAATGAAAGGAGCGAGCTTGAATATGGCGAACCTGAGCTTCGAATGGACAACGATGATCCACCAACCTTTGAAGTGATAAATAAGGTATGGAAGAATAAGGAAGTTGAACACGAGAAATCGGTAGAGGTAATTGAGCACGAGGTTGCAATGAACCTAAACCCGTCACCTCTAAATGTTGGACCACTTTTCCCTTTCCCTTGATTCCCTTTAGAGATAACCCAAGACATAAAGAAGGAAGAGTTCACAAAACCTGTGAAGGATCAAGTAAATGAAGAACTAGGAAAAGATAAGATAGGTTCAGATGAAGGGTTCTACGTTAAAGTTTCACCCCACATTCCAATTTTAAAAAACCAATGCATACAAGTAAGTCACCTATCCCTCGAGCTAGACCTTAAAGCATATTGTGCTCTGAAGGAGCGAACTGTGACAGGGTAGTAGAAGAAAAGAGATCGAACGAGCTTGAGGAAATGAGTGAAAGTTGAAAGCATTCAACGTTCTTTAAAGTAAAATCAGTAGGAGGGAAGTTTGTACATTAGTGTCATGTTTACTTTTCAGTTTTTTTTTATTATGTCCTTAACGTTTGAATAATTTCATTTTCTTAGTACAGGATTGGAGTTCCCAAGAAAATAAGCAAGGCATAAGGCAAAGAGCACTGAGCATTATTCCATAAGAAGGAACAAAACATGACTTAAATATGGAATGCCTAGAAAAAGCGCCACTTGGTGGCCCTTTTTTTGTTTTACTCATCGGATTAATCGAAGGATTTTTCTAACCCATGTTTCGTTGTTGACATAATGTTGTTTTGTTCATGTGTTCTTAGTCATGATATTTTCTAGGTAGAAGTATTTGCATCAGCTAGACAGCATGCTGAGATGTTTGGCGGATAACATATATCATGTTTAATCCTACAAGTTAGGGTCATATAAGCATTGACATTCTATAGACCCTAGGCTCTTTATCATACTTCATGGCTTGTTTGTTGCTGCTAAAACTACTATCTATTTGCTAAGCATGCCTAATCATAAAAAAAAACTGTGAAAATAGTCCCTCGGGCAGTTTAAGGGGTGTTTTTATGTAAAATATTTTTTGTCTTCTTTTTGCAAAATTTTTACATTTTATTTAGGGTTTTTTTGTGTAGATTCCAAATCTAATTTTTGTTTTTGCATTTGAATTTTGCAGGATCAAGATCCAACCCAAGTCAAAATTGCGCCAGGCGCAATTCAAGAGAAAAAAATCGACTTTTGAGTTATGTATTAGGGCTTTTGTGGGCTTTATGTGGGTTATGTTTAAATGGGCTTTAGATTGTTTTTAAATCAAAATAAGGCCGAATGTTAAACTCACTTATGTTTTTAATATGTTTTAAAACATAAAACAAAAAGCCCTAGGATTTCAAATTTCCCCCATTCACGATTTTCACCAAGATTTCCTCACTTGTTTTCAAATATTCTCTCAAGAAATCTCAAAGAATCTCAAAGTTTCTCTCATCTCTCTCATTTTCGGCATACTTAGGGTTTATTGGAGGGATTTTTCGTTGTTGATCATGAAGCAAGCTCGAGAACCATTGAAGGTTCATCTTCCTCCAAGCCACACGACAAAGAGAAGGAGAAGAAGAAAGTGTTGTTGCCTCCACCAACTAAACCGGGTATGATTCCTCTTGAACCTCCTAGGATGTAACGCCCCCGAATTTTGGGTAACGGGGAATGTTACTAAACTTATTTGTTTTACACTTTATTCCAAGGCATAAAGGCCACTAATCGAACTTAAATATTTTAGCTTTGTATTTGCTAATTCAGTCTGTTATTTGCTCAATTTAAACATGTGAACACTACACTTGACAAATGAATGAAACAACTTGTCCTTCATGGGCAAAATACACATAACTCCCCTATTTAAGCCCAAACAAAGCTAAATCGAGTAAACGACGATAGACCAACAACCTACTCGACAGAAGCATAACCCTGCAGGATGATAACAAATCAACTAAGCAAATAAATCCACCACACTACCACTACGCCACTCTGATAATAACACCAAAACAAAACAGTTAATCCATTCTTCAACCTTTCCAAGTGAACAAATCCCCTAACGTTAAACGTACCCTCTAAGCTTCTCAACAGAACCAAAAGCCCAATCATTATAAGAGTTGAGACTTGAAAGAAAAGTCTTCTACAACATTCTAATAACTCCCTAAACATTACACAAATCAATGCTCAAACAGATGACATAAACTAAATCAACAAGAACTCGTAACAACCTATTCTAAACAAGTTAAAACTAAACGGAAACTAGTTATGGTCATTCTTCTCGAGTCTCCACCGCACCATCACCACGAACCTGATCTTCACCTGAAAAAATGTTAAGAAACCCTTGAGAGTTGGATCTAAGAACCTTGCTAACGAACAAGACCCATAGAACTCAATCCCAAAAACCCCGAAAACAAGTATGGAATCAACCCAAGGAAAAGTTTTAGAACGGATTACCTTGATGATCAATATCAAGAGTAGAGAAAACTTGTTTCTAAACTCGTGATTCGAATCACTCCACAAGAGGTATGATCAACACCGCTTGAATGATC